GATGTGTTGCTTCATGTTGATGGCGGCGCACGCTCAGACGTTCTTCAACACCGCTAATGTCGTCACCGCTGTTCACAACTTCCCTGATTACAGTGGGACCGTCGTCGGAATCATGAAGGTATATTTATTCTATTCAGACTCAATTTGGGTTCTAATTTGAGATAATTTTATTTATTTTTTTATTTTTTTATACTTTAAATCAAGCAACCAACCCGGCATACTTGCTTGTTAATTCATACACAGATTTACAATATGTTTGGATCGCCGGATTTGGGAAGTTGAGGAGGGTTAATATTCACTTGTGGATTGTTTTTTCAAAAGAAGATTTGAAGAATATGCACAGGTTGTGAAACAGATGATTCAGAACTATTTCGTTTTTAAAATTTGGAGGATACAGAAAAGAAATAAAGTATTTGTTATTAAATTTTTGGACAAATTATATTTGAACCCCTCAAATTATCGACTATTTACACTATACCCCATAATACTTTAAACCCAAATATTACTCGCCTCAAATTATTTGAATTTGAATATTAAGTCATCTATTAAATATTTGAATGAAAAATTGTCAAGTGCTGTGTACATAGGAGTATAAAAATAGCCCGCGGGTTGTAGGTAGTTTGAAGCTCGCCCGTAGCCTGGGATGGGCTCGACTTGGTTAGGCTGGGCCCAAGCTCAGCCCGGGGCCCTGGACTTAGGGCGTCATTTTGAAGCTCAGCCTAGCCCAGTCCGTGGCCTGGCCCATCGATCCACTCAAAGCCCAGCCCGACCCGAGTCTTGGCCCGCTTGGCCTACCCGAGGCCCAGTGTCATTTTTAGTGAAAAAGAATAAAATTTTGGTGAAAAAATTACAAAAAAATGTTCAAGCTTACCTAACCCCAGCCTAAGCCCGAGTCGGGGTCTAGATCCGCCGGCCCGATCTATCGGCCTTCTCAAGGCCCAAATAATCCCTGGGCCTGGGCCTAATTTTATGGCACGTGGACCGGCCCTTCTCAGCTAGAATTTTGACAAGAGAACACGCGGCCTGACATGGGCCAGCCCGAGCCGGGTGGACCGGCCTGGACCAAATTTACACCCCTATGTGCATATAATGATTATATTAAATTTTAGAGCTAATTACACTAACCGTCCTTATAGTTTGGAACTTGTGTCATTTTGATCCCTGACTTTTTAATTATGACACATTTGATTATGAATTTTGATATTTCAAATAAGGACAATTGAAGATACCATTGCTCAATTTCAAGGGCAAAGTCATCAATTTGATAAAATATAAACTAATTTGACAAAAATAAATGTTAAATTTTTTTTTTTAATTTTTAAAAATAATATATACCCACCAAAGATAAAATTATGTAAAATTGATAAATCTTTTAGATATTTATTTTTTTTTTACCAAATTAATTTTTATTATGTGTTTGGATGATGATCATGTAATGGATGGTTGTTAGACTTTTAATGTGTAATCGATATATTTAATATATGATATGTTTTTAGTTTTAAATTTTTTTGATTTAATGGATTGGTTTAATAATGATATCAAAGCTGTGGCCATATTTGACATTTAGAAAAATAGAAACTAATCTAATGAAAATAAAAATAACCACCCATTACATGATTATCATCCAAACACCTAATAAAAACTAATTTGATAAAAAAAAATAATAAATGTCTAGAAAATTTATCAATTTTATATAATTTTATCTTCAATGAGTAGAAATAATTTTTTTAAATTTAAAAATATTTTTTTGACATTTATTTTTGTTAAATTAGTTTATCAAATTGACGACTTTGTCTTTAAAATTGAGTAATGGTATCTTCAATTGTCTTTCTTTGGAACAAGATTCAAAATTTAGGGTAAAATGTGTCACAATTGAAAAATCAGGGACCAAAGCGACACAAAATCCAAACTATAGGAACCGTTAATGTAATTCGCTTTAAATTTTATAACCAAATTACCCTATTTTATCTTTTATAAAAATTTAATATAATCATCATGTGCACAACACTTAACAATTTTTCATCAAAATATCTAACAGATAATTAACAGAATGATATAGGAAAAATTATTTATAAGTCCTATTAGGAGAATTTATTTAATGTGAAGTCTTGTGTAATTTCTTATAGATTTTCAAGTCCTATTTAGATAGAAATGTGTTTTACAAGGTCCTATGAGTTGTGAATAAATGGTATTAATATACTATTATACCCTATAATGGCAAAACCATATATAAGAAATTAAATGTTATCATAGATCATATCTATATGAATGTGAATTTGAATTTCAAAATACACGAACAAGCAACATTTTCGCATTCAATTTAAAAAATCAAA